TAGACAAAAAGGGGCATAGGATTCCATACTTGTAAGTATATACGATGCTTCTAACCTTGTTTATTTTATTCAAATATATGGGCATAAATGATTTTCCGTACAAAAGCACTTCGGCATCATTTTGCAAAAACCTTGCATGCACTGGAAGTGAGAGAAGGAGACAAAATGTATGTGTGTAGGTACTTCTGCTTTTGAGGAACAGATGGCGCACTATATATTTATAACATAATCGCAGCGTTTGTATGTATATAAATACATACGTACATATGTTTATTGCAGCTAATATGAATCTCTTTTTATCTCGCTTTTATTAGCTCGGGATGTAACTATGTAATATTGATGCGCCTAAAATATTCAGCGATTTCCATTCTCAAGTTACATACCTGATGACAGTACGAATGGGAATTGCATTCAACTTTCATTTTAAAGTTTCCCGATGACAGTACGAATGGAAAATTTTAATAGCAAGTTTTTAGTTTTTTAAACTATAATTTTATTCTTTTAGTAATCTCTGTATGTACATATGAATGCATATTACGCGAAAAATTTTCGTCAGATCCGATCTTTACCGTTCGTTCTTTACCTCTTTTCAAAGAGCCCATTTTTCTCTATGAGTGTGGGATTGATTTCATATATCTCCATGAACACTTCCAGAGATATGCGGTATGAAATCTAGCTTGTATGGTAGGGTGTCACGACCCCTTTTCCAATAGCTCCGTATTTTCTCCACGACTATGCGATTAATTTTATATATCTCCACACCAAGTTCCAGTACTCTACCAAGAACAATTCTAGAGCTATGCAATAAGAAAAATTCGACTTGTATGGGAGGCGCCACGACGACAAACGCTTCCAAGGTTATTATTATGAAAAATTCGGTTTATATGAGAGGTTCCACGTCCCCCTTTCAAATAGTCCGAATATTTATTCATTAGTAAGCGACTGATTTCATATATGTATCTCCATACTCAGCTCCAGTGCTATAAAAAGTGAAAAATTCGTATTGTATGGGAGGTCCCACGCCCCTTGTACAATATATCCAATTTTTATCTAGAGTATTCGATTGATTGCATATATATAGTATCTCCATACCAAGTTTCAGAACTCTACCTTGCACATTTCCAGAGATATGGATTATGAAAAATTCGGTTTACACGGGAGGTTCCCCGCCCCTTTTGTATATCGAGATTTTGGTTAGATTGGAATTATAAAATCTACTATATTTTAAGACGTCCACCAAAATATTTCGGAAAAATATTAAGATTTAAGTGAGCTGGACCGATTTGAAAATACCTCCAAAAATGTTTTTTTTATGAATAAAAATAGTTTCTTAAAGATTTTTTTTTAATAAATCCCCTCAAATGACAAAACGATTTAAGCTTAAAATATTTGCATAAAAATATTTAAAAAAAATGAAAAAAATTTTTAACGGAATCGTAATGATGAGATTTTTGATGCCGTTTTTTAACTTTTTTCAAATATTGGTATAAGAAAAACTTGGATAACTGAACCTAAACTCTACCGATTTAGACTTAAGAGGTGTCATTGGAAGGGTATTTTCTCACCCTTTTCATTTATTTGCTAACAAACTTATTCAAAGGATGGAAGAGAAAGGTAGGAGAAGCGAACCTCATTCAAAGTTGAATTAAGATGTTTTGGTATTCGAAAAAAAATATGAGACACGAATGACGTTTCTTTTGGCCAGAAATGAAAACGGTGTGAAAATACCTTTCTACTGAGATCCCATAAGTCTAAATCAGAACAGTTTTGGCCCAGTTATTCAAGTTTTTCGTAAATCAATCTTTGAAAAAAGTAAAAAAACAGCATCAAAAATATCATTCTTACGATTCCGTTGAAAATATTTTTAAATATTTTTATGCAGATTTTTTAAGCTTATTCTAATTTGTCATCTGAGGGGACTTTTTTCAAAAAGTTCTTTAAGAAACTATTTTTATTCATAAAAAGCTTAATTTGTGGAAGTAATTTTAAATCGGTCCAGCTCGCTTAAATCTTAATATTTTTCCGAAATATTTTAGTGGACGTCTTAAAATATAATACGTTTTGTAATCCCGATGGAAAAACCGCAACTTTTTTTTGGTGATGCAGTCTAATGTACATAAATATTCATATACAAATGTGAGTGCCAAGGCGAATTCATACCGTCGCTGGAATAATGAAGTAGTGAAACATGAAAAGTATAGTTTTGAGAAAAACAAATTTGAAGTTTTTATGATCCAATCGACCAAATCTAAACTGTAAAGTACGCGCTTGTTATTCAAAAATTCATATTTGAAATAAACCACGCTTCTTATTAAATCCTTCACTGTTAATTCAGAAAAAAATGACTTAGAAATGCCATTTGAGCCCATTTTTCTGAAAGCATCTGCTTATACACTATTTTATCTTTGAACATTTTTATATGAAATCATTCTACACTATTTTATAGTGGTTGCAAACTCATAAAAATTAATGGGTTTATGTCGATATTACACAATTTTATTATTCACATTTTGAAACTGCCTGTGAAAGTTGGCAGTAATATAATGAAGTAAAATTCGCTAATGTTATTTTAATATTAAAAGAATTTTTTCGGAATTTTCTTAATAATGGACCATTAAAAATTAAAATTTTGTTTTTCGCGAATAAGTGCGTGATCCAAAAAGATATTTAAGAAAACTGAAGATTTTTCTAATAGATTAAAGGATTCTCTATACAGTGGTACGATTATCGAATAATAGTGTATATGGCATTTACACTGTTTCTTTATTCCAGCGACGATATAAGGTGGTGTTGCTAGGATAGCTGCTTTAATTCGCCTTCGTACACATACATACATATGTCAAAACTACTTATGAGTGAGTGCGAAAGTAAGAGTGTTGGAGTTTTCTGTTCCTCTTCCTCCTTGAGCGAAGAATAGCTGAAATTTGGCATTTGTGTACCGAAAGCGAAAACAAAATACAAATGTAGTTTTTGTTTTTGTACTACCGCTACCACCCTATATGCATTCGCCTTTTGTAAGTGCTAACAGCAATGTTAATTGCTCATTGTACATACATATGTAATTGCCTACATTATTTATCCATGAACTGTACTTACATATTTGTTTTTTTTTTTTAACATAAGAATCAACATTAACGTTAATATTAGCACGTATGTACATACATATGTATATGTATAAATAACCCTTGCGTCACGCTGTATTCCGTACGAATTAACAGCAGAACAGAAAAAAGGGCGAGCAGAAAAAAACGGCTTTCAAAATATATATTAGTACAGATTAATTACATTTTTGTAACATTTAAGTAATCACTGTCAATTTTATTCAAACATAAAAAGCTAATTCACACGCGTCTCCACATTTAAACGGATATTTATAAATTTCCGCAAAATTCCTTCCTTACTTTAAGATTTCACTTAAAAATTTACTTGCTTTAGAAATATTTAAAAATTCATACAAAACAGATACACGCACCACTCCATTCGCATACAAAATATAAACTCATTTCCTTTCATGCTACGAAGCACTTTGACCGCAACTGATCTCATTCAAATTGTCGGCACTCTCAATTGACTTAACCTTAACAATTTTGGGTGCATCGTTGATATCCGCTTGTGCACGATTGCCCAATTCCTGCATCTTGAGTATGAGCATGGCAAACACTTGTGACGGCAATGACATCTGCAACATTTCCAGCAGGCGCCCTGGTTGTCCGCATACGATTATTGCATTGGCCAGATGTCCCACACCATTCTCAAATTCACCTCGCGCAATCAATGTTTCACCCCATTGTATCTCCTGCAGGAAGTAGCGCTCAATTGC